AATTCTTTCTGTTTTTACCGTTGCAATGTCAAAGCGTCGAAAATGTTTAACAGAGCATGAAATAGCAGAAATGATGCAAAATATTTCTGATATTGATTCTGAAAGATTAACTGAAAGACATTTTCCAAAACTTTGTTCAGAAGAGACTGATAAGAAAATGAGACGATGATGCTTCGTTTGTTCACATTCACGGAAAAATCCTCCAAAATGGCAAATGAGTTATTACGAGTGCAAGGTATGTAATGTAGTACTGTGTGTAGATCCCTGTTTTCAAATTTTTCATACGAAAAAGAGAATTTTTTAAGTAATATATTTACTAAGTAATAATATACTAAGTAATATATTTAGTTTTCAGATGTATAATGTTAAAAGTCATAAAATGGTGAGTAATGAAAATAAAATGTATAAAATATGCATTTAAACAAGAAATAAGGTAATTAAAGTATATAGTATAAAAATATCTATAAAGCATAAGCTGTTTAAATACTCTATAGAGCATTATTAAACAATGCGTTGATACTTTGGAAATTTCATGGATTTAGGCTTAGTAGCAAAAAAGCCCCCGGCCCTGGACAGACCCTCGCGTAAGACACTGCCAGCCTCCGCGATAAGCATGCTTTTGCGCTACCCGGCTCGAAGGGGTTAACATGTAATGATGGGTTCTTTAGGAAATTTGTAATAAATTTCTTATTTTGGGGAGAATTTTTGTAAGAATAGTAAAAACAAAGTTTTTTGAATTTTCTACTTTTGATCCTAAAAAGTCTTTCTCTTAACATGTTTATCTTCCGTTTATTTTTTCATCTTTTCACTAGACACAATGTGGAAAAGTCCAGAAGTGTTTTAATTTTGTCACATGGAAAGGAATTTTTCTTTTACTATAAAAATTGACAACTGTCAATTTAAAAGATTCATCTTGTATGTCTCACTATACCGTACACAGGGGTATGTATTTTGCCACCTGGTGCAGTCTTTATGGGTCCTACCCAGTCTCTATCCTAAAATCTAAAAATTATGCTTATCTCTAATCCCTAAAATTTTAGTAATCCTTATTTTTTTCATTTTGTTGCTCAGTGCTTCACTATCTTCTTAACTTCTGCCATTATGGCTGTGATTTTATATTTATATTCAATACTTATATTAGTAAAGAAATAAAATTATCAGTTTCTCCTATACATTCCGATACATGCACTTCTGCAGAATAACAGAAATTTTCAATTAAGTCTGAAATCCTAAAATGAAGAAAAAACTTATTGAGAAGGAATTTGATTACACAAAGAAAATTATTCTTCAAAGGTGTAGTGTTAAAGCATTAACAAATTAGGAGATGAAGCAGACATTAGTGGAAGCACTGATTCGTTTATTAAAACAAATAAACTTAGAAAAGATGCTAAAGAATGATTCAAATTAGCTAAAAAATCAGGAAAATTTGCCAAATAAAAAGACACAAATATTTTGTTGTGAGTTATTGCAACAAAGCTATTTTGTAGCTTTTTATGTGTAATTTACCGTAATATCATTTTAGAATCAATATCATAAATTGCATAATTATATTAAATATTAGAATATGTTTAATAATGTATCCTACTTAGAGTTTTTTTGTTCTTTAAATTTCATTGCAAAAGGGAAGTTTGGGTATCGATAATTGCTTTCACTTATTAAATTCCCTCTGCTGATAGGTCCTTAATTTTCATGTGCAGAAATGTGTATGAACCCTGGTTTCAAAATAATGTTTCTTTTGAGGCTAGTGTAATAATGAAGGAACCTGTTAAATTTTTTTGTAAAAATAATTTCAGAATAGTTCTTTTTTTAACCTCTCAAACTGGTTCTACTGTTTTAGCTTAATATTAAAAATGCATCTAAGGCTTGTTAGAAACAAATACAAAATTATTGCACTAAATTAAATATATAAATGTTTATGGTTTCATCTTTGCAGAACAGGTGTGTTTAAAATCTGTTGGTGTGAAAATACTTTTGAGAGACTGATGGTAGAAAAAGAGGAGTATGGAAAATCCAGTCTCATGTTTTGGAGTTTTGTCTATCAAAATTGGAATAGAACTTATGCAGTACTTTACCAGAAGCAATAAATACAGGAAGCACTCGAGAAATATATTCATGGTTACAATATAAAAAGAAACAAATTAAATAATAAAAAGAAACAAACTAAATAATAAATAAAATCAAGCACATAATAAAAAAATATGATGTAAACTACAAATAAATATGCTTATAATTTACTTCAGTATGTCTATTCATATGTGATAAAATGTATTTAAACTATATGTAGTGTTATATATGTAAGAAAATTTATTTTATACAGTCTAACTATTAAATCTCACACCCATAAAATTGCAAATAGTGATTGAAAAAACTAACCACAATTTACACACATACGTATATACTAATAACATATCCAAAAATGGAAAGTAAGACAATCCTGCAGCTTAGCTGCATAGATTTAATTTATGAACAATATAATAGGAGTTATATTTATTTTTAAATTCATTATACTGTTTATATTTAGCAAATATTCTCTATCCATATAAAGCTAATATAAATTTAAAATTTAATTAAGAAATTTTTTAATTGCAAAAAAATAAAGAATAATTATTATTGCTGCGAACTAATTTCTATTAAATTCTAAATACACAATATCATTTAAATTCTAAGAGCATATGTAAATTAAGTGCACGTATCTAAAACCATGAAAAAAAAATAAAGTTTATTATTCCAAAAATTTGCATAAGTGAATAATTGTTGAGCAGGCAGGAGACAGACTTATCAAGGGGAAGTTGCTCCCAAACCTAACTCTTCAATTACCCAATTCGTGTTTCATCATCCATATAGGCAAGGGTAAAAATAAAATTCAAAACCAAAAGTAAAAACAAATATTGTGGATTACTAAAAATGAAATTTCAACAGTGGAATTTTGAGAAAATAGCAAGTAAATGACTAGAGTTAAAATTAATTAAATGTTAATTAAGAGTAGAAAACCAAAGTAATTTAGAAACTCTTACCTACTGTAAACTTCCCCAACATATGAATTATGCATGTAAACCTAAAATAAACTATATACAACTATCAAAATATAATAATAAAAAGGCTAGTAAAAAGAAGTTTAAATTTAACTTACCTAGATCTACATATTTAAATTTCTGAGTTGTACTAGCATTTACTAAACTAGGTGAAGTTGAGTAGTTTGTTACTGCTAACTGTAAAAATAGAGGCCACTAATACAGTGTAAAGTTGAGTGTGAAGCTGTTAATACCTGTGAGAGCTATTGTAAAAAACCTGTGCTGTTAATTTTTAAAATGTAAAATGCTTGTTTTGTGTGCAAAAATGTTACTAACTTTGAGTCATTGTTAAAATGTGTAAAAAGTAAAAATTATGAACTGCTACTGTTTGTGAAAATAGATGTTGCAATCTACTGAAGATGTAAAAATTTTAAAAAAAATGTTTTTGAATAAATTTTTTAATAAAATTAAAATTTTGAATAAATATTTTAATTGAATTAATTTGAATTAGAAAATTACAGATTGAAATAATTATTGTAAGAAATTTTTTGTCCTAGACTGCATTATTTAAAACTGAAGTTATAAATTCAATCAAAACTTTTAACTAAATATTGGCCAAAAGTAAGGAAATTAGAAAAATTAGATAAAAATCTTCACTCAATTCAGGCTATAATTGAGACTTTTGAAAAGAGTTGGCCCTGTATTAGTAAAAGGAAAGAATCCAGTATTGATAAAATATGCATTTTTACAAAATTATATTTACAAATAATCCCTTAATTGTTCAAAATCTTCTATTACCCTCCAGTTAAGGTTTAAGGTAATATTATCATACCATAAAAAGTTAAATATTAAAAAGAAAAGTTAATGCCTGCCTTTTAATATACAATTTAATAAAATGTTTTGGGACCTGGTTATTAACTTGAACATTAATTAGTTTTATTATTTCTTCCTTTAAATCTTCTATTTCAATACATATATTTTTAATTCTAATTATTTGGCTATAAAAAGTGTTACCTATTACTTTTTTAGAGATATTAGAGTACCAATTAATAAGTTTAATAGTTTCAAACTGGAGTGTCCTCCTTTTATCATATAGTTTAATTTTGTTGTGTTTAATTATGAGCAGGTCTAGGTATTCAGTATTATCCTAATTCATATTAGTTCTATTAAGTGTTAAACTATCTAGGTAAATTTTGAATTGTTCAGAAGCAGAATTACTATTGAAAGTATCATCATATATACAGTACAAAGTCCGTAATCCGGACGTCCATTATCCAGAATGATCTGTAATCCGGACCTCAAAGCCACAAACTTTTTTTTTAATGCTTTATGCATGCACAATTAATATATAATGGCTATAAGCTAGGCTAAAATTATCTTTACTGATTGTAAGGGCATTTCAGTTAATGTTGCTTTCAGTTAATGCGCTCTTCCTTAATCTTCTAATTGGATCCGGCTTATTATTTTTTGCAGACTGTTAGAACAATTTTATAAAAATTAAGCTTCAAATTTCGATTTTGTCAAAAAGAGTTTCCAATTCTGGAGCTGCCAAAGGATCTACAAAGCGAAAGTATGTTTCGATGTCGGTTCTCGACACAATTGCAGGACTTGAACAGTGGAACTTAGAACAAGAAATGATGTCTGTTTAAAGAATTACAGAAAAAGTATTAGCACAAAAAGAAGAAACTTACATTGAAAGAAATGTTTAATAAAGTAAACAAATCAATCAAACAAACATTAAACTTTTGGGGGTTGTAAATTTTGATACCCTTTCGATCATAATTGCCCTTCATTTCATAAATTATGATTTCATATTTTTAATTGTATAATTTCTGTATGCCATCTTACCAGATTTAAATTGAAGATCTATATTCCGGAATCGCCGAAGTCCTGACGAACCCGGATTACCGACTCTATATTGTATATATATGCATATACATATGTGTGTATAATAGAATTCTTTGTTCTTATGACCTCTTTTCTGTATAGGTTAAAAAGTATAATTTTGATATGATTGAAAAGACTGATGGAAATGGACAGACCCAAGTATTTTGTTCATTGAATTGTTTGTCTGTATATCGAGTCAGCCTCAATGCAACATCGTCCAAGAGCATTCGTTGTGATAACTGTGCTAAAAATCTTCCTGCACAATATCATCTAACCATGAGTGATGGTTCCATCCGAAATTTTTGTACTTACCAATGTTGTATATATTTTCAAAATCAATTTACCAATGTCCCTGCTCTGACAACTACATCAACAACACGTCAGACGTCTACATCTGCACAAGGTTAGTCAGTTCTTATTGTTGTGTAATATCTAAAATGATATGTTTTTTTTTTCATACATTTAGTAGTAATTAGTAGTTTTAAGTAATTGTTCATCTTTAAAATAGTTGCTCTATTATGTCTTTTTTCTTTGCCAGACTTATTTCAAATTGTGACTAATAAATTATTACATTATTTTGAACTAGCAAAGCCTGAAATTTTTAAAATTTTTTGCTGAAGAGACTTTTACTGCTAAATTGTTTGGGAAAAAACAAATTTTATTAATTTTTTATTTTATTCCCCCCCCCCCCCATGTAATCAGATTGTGCCTCAAAATGTATGTTGTGCCAAGGAATTGCTATAAAGAGGCAAAATTTTGTTGATTTGACACCAAATACTGAATCTGTTTTGCATCAAAATATGGAATGTATTTGCTCCTATTTTTCATAGTTTAAAGCCAGACACAGTAACGGAAGCTTTTCTAGGATGGTGAATGATAAATAATATTATTACGGATTTTGTATATATGTAAATAACTAATTATAGTACAGTCAAAATTCGTTAATTCGGACACCCATAATCCGGAATGATCTATAATCCGGACCTCAAAGCTACCAACTTTCTGCGCATGCGTCACGTTGATGGGTAAGACCTTTACAGCTGCAAATATGTGTGTGCGCATGCGCAAAATATGCAGAATAAGAATGCACGTTTAATGTATAACGGACGGTATAAGCTAAAATTATCTAATTATCTATTTCAGTTAATGTTGCAGGTTGCGTTGTTCCTTAATCTCCGAATTGGATCGGGCTTATTATTTTTTGTAGACTGTTAGAGCAATTTTATAAAAGTAAGCTTGAACTTTCGATTATGTCAAATAGAATTTCTGATATATATTTACTAATATGTAAAGGATCTACAAAGCGAAAGTATGTTTCAAAGTCCATTAAACAAAAAGTGGAATTGCTGCAAAAAAAATGGATAAAGGCATATCTTTTGTTTATCTAACCATTCCGAAATCTGTTTATCAATTTCACGCTGCTCTGGGGGGGAACGCCGCAGCACGCACTAAATTGGAAGTTGATCTGTCAGCACTATCCTTATCTTCAGGGCAGATGTTTTTATTTTATTTGGCTTATAATTCCTTACTAAATGTAGTATTTCATCTCGATGTACTCCGTCTTTGATATGATTTAAATCAAATTCCTCGTCATTATCCGATAGCGAAGAAAGCGACACAGAGGTTATTGAAAATGAAAAAGTTTCGATTGACAAATTAGTCAGTATTTTCGACACAGCAATTATAGGACTTGAACAGCGGAACTTTGTAACTGAACAAGAAATTATGTCTGTTTATAGAATTAAAGAGAAAGTATTATCACATAAAAAATGAAGCAACTTAAACAACTTACATTGAAAGAAATGTTTAATAAAGTAAACAAATAAATATTAAGCTTTTTTTGTAAATTTTGATACCCTTTAGATCATAATTGTTCTTTATTTCATAAATTACGGTTTCATATTTTTATTTTTGTAATTTCTGCATGCCATCTTACCAGTTTTAAACTAATGATCTGTAATCCAGAAAAATCGATAATCCGGAAGTCCCGACGAATCCGGATTAAGGACTTCTGACTGTAATAGTATTTTTTTGTGTAATAATATATATAATTAGTATTTTTTGTGAAATATAACATGCAGTATTGGAAAATGAGTGCTATGCCAGAAAAATAAGATTAGAATGGGCAAGTCCATTAGGTAAATGGCTATCTTGCTAAATTGGTGAGATATTATCAAGCTCACGATGGTTTTCAGGGTTCGTACGGTCCTTAAAAGTCCTTAATTTTGGCCAAAATGAATAAATGGTCCTTAATTTTGCTCATTTGACATTTCTTATCATTTCTAATGATTGCCATTCTATGTGTGAATTGCGATTTCTCATGAATATGGAATTAAAATTGCACGGCTCTTAACCAATCTGTTGGCGGATTTGCGTTGCAAACTATTTAAAAAAACAATTAGCTACCCGAACGAAAGTATCGGTGTCTGATTGGCTATTCACCCAATCTTTCGAAACAGGTGTTATCCATAAATTTAGGCAGATTGTGACGAAAGCGTGAAGCTGGAAGTTCTTTAAGAGGCGAAAGTGATGATGAAGGTGCTCGAGAAAAAAAAAAGGGGGGGATTCTGAAAATATTTGCCAAAATTAGAGCAATCCCAACCTGGAAGGCCACAACCCTTCCGACGCCAATAGGAACGAGATGCCTGGAAAGTGCATTTTCAATAAACTGTGGCTTCATCAAGCTGACTACAAAGACTGGATATTGATGGATGACAATCCTTTAAAGCTAAATGTGGTCTTTGTCTGAAACAAATTGAAATTTTCTAGAATGGGAGAGTCAGCGCTGAAAATTCACATTGAAAATTAAGTTTCGTTTTATCATTTCAATTTGTTTTTACACGGTTTTGCTTAGCTTAATTTCTGTGTTTGTTTCAATTAAGCCATAAATTAATTTTTTTATCACCTTCTACGGAGTTTATTCTCTTTTGCACATACTATATGTATGGGATATCGGGATTATGAGTTTATTTCTGCAGAGGGTCTGTTATCGATTTCGCGGGAAATCTGTTGGCTCCATTTCGAATTTAGGTCGCCAAGGGCAAATTCGGTAACGCTAGCTGAGAAAAAGTGAAGTTCGGAAATACGTTTTGAAGCTTCAATAGACAATTAAGTATTTGGTTTAAACCTATGTTTGTTGATAGTAATGCATAATTTTTGCTAATGGCGATACAATTATTAGTTGAAAAAATAACTAATTAAAAAATTTTTAAATATTTTTAAAGCTGAAAACAACTAATTGAAACTAATTTTCCTGAATTAACTAGACGCAAAATTAACTTTCATGAATTACTAAAGTTATTGGGTAGAAGGTTTAACTGAAAATATACATTCCGTATTATTTATATATATATATATATATATATATATATTTATACAGTACAAAGTCCGAGGTCGGGACTTCGGCGATCCCAGATTTGAGATTTTTCCGGATATTAGATCATTTTAAATCTACTAAGATGGCACGTAGAAATTATAAAATTGAAAATATGAAATCGTGATTTATGAAATAATGAAGCATTTATGATTTAAAGGGTATCAAAATTTACAAAAGAAAAGAGCTTAATATTTATATGTTTACTTTATTAAACATTTCTTTCAATGTGAGTTGTTTGATTTGTTTTCTCTGCTAATACTTTAGACTAATACTATAGACATATAATTTCTTGTTCAGTTATTAAGTTCCATTGTTCAAGTCCTGTAATTGCTGTGTCGAGAATTCCGAATAACTTGTCAATCAAAATTTTTTCTCGTTCAGTAACCTCTCTGTTACTTTCTTCACTATCGGTAGCTGTATTTTCTGGATTTAGAACCATACTACAGATTTCGCCCTCCGTTAATTGATTGATGATTGGGGCATTGTCATCGCAATGAAAAACTTCTGTTTAACTTCGCTAAATTCTGCCGCCTGGTGCGGCCATGCGAGCTCTGGCGCTGGTTCTGGCTTTATGTGAATAACAAATCAGTTATTCTTAATTCAAATAGCACTAAATATAATCGTTTGTCCTATGAGTATCATTAACAAAATCTATTTTTAGCATAAGGAAAGAAATTTCTGCTAAATCTCCCCTTGTCAACATTTTAGCGCATTAAACTTAAATCTGTAATCGGATAATACTCTGTTATTTGGCATCGCTGCATGATTCATCACTCAAGTTGTCATTCCGTTGATAAACATGCGGTGGATGAAAGCAAAATACAATAAATAATGATTCGCGATTTCGGCATCAAGGATATAAAATATTATTTGGTGTAAAATTAACAAATGTTTCGGTTTGAGATTATGCCAAGCAGATACGCAGCTATGGAGTCAAGTTACTAATCACACACAAATTTATGCTAAAATAATTATTTCTTCAATAATGAGATATTTTATTTAGCGCCAAACTGAGATTAAGAATCGGGATTTCCTGGCATGTTTTTTTATGATGAGGAAAAAAATCTAATGCGCATGCGTTTAAAGCATACCCCTTCCCTCCAAAAAAAGCCCTAAAAAATTGGTTGGTGGTGGCTTTGAGGTCCTGGATTTTAGATCATTCCAGATATTGGATGTCCGGATCTCGGAATTTGTATTGTATATAGATAGATATATATATATGTACTATATATATGTACTGTATATATATATTAATGCTTCATAAGAATAAATTGAATTAATTAAATTTAATTTAAATACAAATTTAGTTAAATATTCTTTGCACCATTGCTGCAAGGAATGAAATTTAAATTTAAACAAATTTAAAGCAACAAAAAAAATTTTTTTTTAATTTTAAGAAAATGTGTAAACATATAAAGATTTAATTCTCGAACTAATCTACAATATCATTTAAATTCAGAAGCATGAGCAAATCAAGTGCAAAACCAATTCATGAAAATAAATTCACTAATTTAGCAAATTAAAATTAAAATTAAACCAAACAATTTTTTAAAATGCATAAGTGAATGACTGTTGAGTAGGCAGGAGACAGACTTATCAAGGGGAAGTTGCTTCCAAATCTAACTCTCGAATCATTCAATTCGTGTTTCGTCATTCATGCAGGCGAGGGTAAAAGTCAAAACCAAAAGTAAAAAGAAAAAACAATAAAGTGGTACCCTTAGAAATTAATATTTAAGAATTAAAACTCTAAAAGGAAAATACTAATGAAGTCTTTTGAGAAACAAGCAAGTAAAGTCAAGTATTAAATTAAACTTTTTTTTAAAAAAATTAAATTTTTTAAAAAATTAATTTTTTATAAAAAATATAAAATAATCTAGAAACCAATGTATTTTAGAAACCCTTGTCTGCAGAAACCTCCCCGACACGAATATGCATATCAATAAAAAGAAACTAAAAAAGAACTAGACATAATCCATATAAACCAATAAGAAACAAAAAGAACTAATTCACAATTTTTATAAAACAAA